TTCTGTACAGTTTGTTAAAAGAGGAAGGAAGAAAAAGATTATTCTTTCTGTATTCACAGGGGTGAACTCTTGACATCACTGATTTCAGTGGCTTTAGATTTTACTATGGAAAGGGGCTGTAAAAACCGAGCTCAAGACAGCTACTCTAGAACTATCAGTATGTAACTATAAAGCGCACAGCACTGCTGGGATTTTTAATGCTGGTAGTTTTTCCACTGATGTGGAAAGTTATGAAAAATTGTGTCTCCCCCATTAGGTATTGCTTGGTTAATTGCTTAGTCGTGAGAGCGGAGGCTATGTGTGATTTTAATGAGGGCATGGTACAGAAATCAATGAAAAATACTGTTTTAAAGCAAGAATTTTTTGACTTATAATGTATTTATAGAGTCACTTGATTTATTATTACTCAAGCTGTTCACAGTGATGTGACTTCACTAGTGACTAATGTGTTTCAGCCATTTCCTGGGGGAGTGAGGTGCTAGGGCTCTCTGGTCAAAGGCTGTGAAATCTTCCCGTTTCAGGACTCAGTACTGGTCTGGAGCTGTGAGGTGCATTGAACATGATTACCATCATTAGTGCTCTCTAATCACTCTGCTCTGGACAATATTTTCTCTTTGAGTTTCCTTTATTAGGAGGATGAACAAGGATGAAATTTGCATGTCTCCCATACTACTATCTCATCTTTGAGACTCCTTCCCACATTGCAGTCTAGGGCACACTACTGAAAGGGTGTGCAAGAAAGTTGTTTGGCATACCAGTTCTGTTGATTAAACAGTAAATTGATTGAAAGTAAGTGTTCAGAAAAGATGATTTCAGGGCTGTGAAGACTTAAATTTTTATTACAGTCCTTACAGTATGTGATGGGAAGGGGACAGGTTTTCGTGTTTGTTTTTTTTGCCTTCAAAAATCCTACTCCTGTTCTAAATAAGTTATTAAAAGTCTTTGTTCTTATTTAAAAAGATGTATTATGAGCTTAGCATGTACTCAGTTTTTTAAACTCAGGATTTTAAATTGGCTGTTGACTTAAATTTTGATGACTTGGAGTGGCAGTTTTACAGTGGTGCCTGGCAAGGGCTCACCAGACCATGTTCACATTACTCCATGTCATGATTGTCTTCAGGATTGTCTTTTACTGTTTTAGGACTATACACATGAATCTGCAATAGCAAAATTGCAGTCATACTGTGTTTCACATTATACTTGTCTGGAAGGGTCTTCAGTTTGCTTTTAATGTTGAATTTCTTCACTTTGTTGTGTGTGCCTCTGAAACCATCTACCTGTTCAAAGTCTGTTCCAAATTATTTTTACAGTGTTTCCCATAAGCACTTAAGTTTTCTTCTGATAGTGTTTTTTACATTTAGAGGTATATATTGTGATAATTTTATATATATAAAGCAGGAGAACTTCTAGTTATGGCCCAGGAGAAGGTTTACAGACCTTGTTTTGGTTGTTTCAGGAAACTGTTAGCTCTCCACATTTTCCAGATACAGAATAAGAGCCGATTCAAATTTTCCTGCTTGCTGATAACATTACTGGGCATTGAGGGGTTAGGTCTGCAGTGTTTTTCAAGTCTAAGTTACTTTGCATTTGCTTACAATGCTAAAAGAAGACAATACAGAATGTTCATTTTTGCCATTCAGCTGGGTAAGAAGCACTGGCCAGCAGAGCTTGCTGAATAAAAATATTCATAGCTCGGACATTCATTATGATCTTATAAAATGAATTTCAAATGAATCTTCAAACCAAGGTTGCTTTAAAAGAAAAAAAGCAGACCAGTTCCTCACCAGACATGTAGTTTCCGGTGAGAAACTGCACCACACAATGTAGTTTCTCACTGTAAATATGAAGATGCCATTGACTGATACTGGTGACTAAGTGAAAAATCTAATGGTGTTTCATTGCTTATTCACAGAAACACATTACTTCTCCAAGACAGCTAAGCATTTAGAGGCTTTGGAAGTTTTGCTTAAATGAAAATTAGTCGTTGCTCTGGCAACTGCTACCTGGAAAATATATTTTAAAGTGATGCTATAGTATGAAATAAGTAGCATGATGTAATGCAATTATAGATGTCTTCATATTGTGAGGATGCCCTGATTAAGAATGGTGCATCTTTATTTATTTCGTGGATCACACACTAGTCAGCTTCTTCAACAGTACTCCAGAAACAGGGCCATTTTTCTTTTTAGACAACCTGTTTGGTAGATAACTGTTTTCTTGTAGCATCCATTCTTGACAAGATGATGGTCAAATTAATCAGTCAGGTGAAGTTTAACCACGACAAGTGCAAGGTCCTACACCTGGGTTGGAGCAATCCCAGACACAGCTACAGGTTGGGCAGAGAAGAGATTCAGAGCAGACCTGAGGAGAAGGACTTGGGGGTGCTGGCTGATGGGAAAGTGAACAGGAGCTGGCTTCAGTGTGTGCTTGCAGCCCAGAAAGCCAACTGTATCCTGGGCTGCATCAAAAGGAGTGTGACCAGCAGGTCGAAGGAGGTGATCCTGCCCCTTTGCTCTTGTGAAACCTCACATGGAGTATTGTGTACATTTCTGGTGTCCTCAACGTAAAAAGGACATGGAACTGTTGGAACAATTCCAGAGGAGGGCCACGAGAATGATCAGGGGACTGGAGCACCTCCCATATGAAGATAGGCTGAGAAAGTTGTGTCTGTTCAGCCTGGAGAAGAGAAGGCTGCGTGGAGACCTCATAGCAGCCTTCCAGTATCTGAAGGGGGCCTATAGGGATGCTGGGGATGGACTCTTCATTAGGGACTGTAGTGATAGGACAAGGGGTAATGGGTTAAAACTTAAAGAGGGGAAGTTTAGATTAGATATAAGGAAGAAATTCTTTCCTATCAGGGTGGTGAGGCAGTGGAATAGGTTGCCCAGGGAGGTTGTGAATGCTCCATCCCTGGCAGTGTTGAAGGCCAGGTTGGACAAGGCCTTGGGTGAGATGGTTTAGAGCAAGGTGTCCCTGCCTATGGGAGAGGGGTTGGAACTTGATGGTCTTAAGGTCCTTTCCAACCCTAACTATTCTATGATTCTATGTCTTCCACCAGTGTGTGTGTATTTAAGATCAAGGTTGAAATCAGTAATTTGTTGTTGTCTGTCAGCCATTATTATTGCTTATTGTAAATATAGAAAAATTAAGGTATGAATTTTGACATAAGAAGGAGTTTGTTCTGGTTTATGTATCTCCAGAAGGACAGCAGCAGCAATGAAGACACAAGCATGTCTACCTTAAGTCAGGGCTAGGAACCAGGGTAAGCCCTAGGGAGGTTTTGTGCTGCATACTGCACCTAAAACATGATGTTTAAGTAGTGTCAAAGGCTGCTGTGTGTAGAGTAGAGGTTACACAGAAGTTACATTAGCTCATGGAAATAAGGCTGCACAGAATTCTACAGGTAGAAGAGAAAGCTACATCTTCACAGAGCAGTGTGCTGTCCCCACTGCATAGGTCTTTCTCTGATATAATCATCTTTGTTTTGCAGTGTAAGGGTACCATAAAGGCTGACAAAAGGGTGGGACACTTGCCATGATGCTATTAACTGAACAGGTACAACTATTCATCACATTGTAGAGTTCTGAAATTCTTCTTCATTATCTCATCCTTTCCTGCTGCCGCTTGTGTTAGGACTTCAACCTGCAAAAGCACTTAGTCATAAGTCAGTTTTAAGCTGAAGCTGCTGAGAGAAAAAATGCACTGTCAAGATCACTCTCGCTGTTTTGTTTTGTTTGTTTTGGTTTGGGTTTTTTTGTTTGTTTTGTTTTGTTTTTAATGTCTATATCTCTGTAGGCTTGTACTCACTAGGAAAATGATTATTCTTTTCCTGCTGATGTTCCAGAATAGTCATGGAAGCCCATGGGAATTCTTTCTGTCCTGTTGCTTATTGAGCAGTCTTTGAAACAGCTGAAATGCTGCTGTTCTCTAAAATCTGAAGAACTAAAAAGACCTACATTGCTTTAACTTGAACTCCAAGTTGTATCTAAATATTTAACATATATAAAAGAGCACAGATACGTCTAAGAAGTGGAAGCCCGTGGCAAGACTGTGCTTACCCTCAGGACTAGGATGAGATTTAGGGGAGGTGTAGAAAATGAAAATTTAGAGTTCCATCTAACAGCTGTAAAATAACTGATGTTGCGGTATTGATAGCTAACAAACATATGCCACTAAGAGGTGTTAGAACTGCAGGTCCACATGCGTTGCATCGCCTTTATGCTTACATTTCTGCAAAGGGTTATCCTCTGAAAGATGAGCTATGCATGTAGCTACAGTTTTAGGATTACTGCAGTCTGCCCTTCTTGTCACACTCCTTAGGGGCAGAAACTGAGTTGTAAATAAGATTGGGCTATTTATACTGTATGTGAAGTAGTCAATCAAACTAATGTTGTCCTTAACTTTAATATATTTATCTCATCAAAAGGAGTGTAATCTCATCATTAACAACAGTTCAGATATAATTGCTCAGGAAGAGGAAAGTGTTTTATTGTAGGATGAATAGAAAATATCTTAAGATTCTGTATTTCATTTGTGAGCAAGCACATTATTTCTACGAAATGAAAGTAAATCACATACTTCACAAAGTGAAGAAGTCTAACAACTTCTACAACAGTCCCTTTCGTGTCTGATAAAATCAGAGTAAGTTTTGATATTGCCTGGCAAACTGCCATGCTGTTCCATCATACTTAAAACATGATAGCCAAAAGTGAAAAGATGTCACTGGATGTGGTAAGCAGAAAATGATATGCAGAGTTTGCAAATGCGTTTACTAGTGGGTTTTTTTTTTCCCCTTTTTTTTTGCTTTTCTGATAAGAAATACAAGAAAGTTCTCCGTTGCTTTGTTTTTACATATAAAACATGTATGCTTTGTGTAATAGTCTTTTTCTCCCCTTTTCTATTTCCAGAGTCAAGATGACAGGTTTGCTTTCACTGCTGAATGGTATGACCAAAATGCTTCACTCTTTCGGCGTTATGAACTTCTGTATTATCCAAAAGATGGATCAGTTGAAATGGTGAGAATAAAAGAAAAAAACAAATCTATTATCATGATGGTTATATCCAGTTAAGCAGTTTACAAAATGGGAAGCTACTGCTTATACTTACTGATAGAAAATGTAGCTTAAGGAAAAAATTGTAAAAAAATGTAATTTATCATGTATCTTGCTCTGTTTTTAAAACTAAAAGAAAAACAAAAATACAAGTTTACAGCATGTGAAGCATGTGGAATAGCTTCCATGTTTAAATTTTTTTTTCTTAAAGCTTGCTTTGACTTGGAGAAATTCATCTTCACAAATCTTTTCTTATTCAATCTCTGCTTGGGTTTCAGAATTGAAGCTCAGCAACGCTGACCTGCTGCTTGAGAAGTGTAATTTGAAGCTGATTCTGAACACGGGCATAAGCTTCATCAGAAATTCCAGAATTCTCTGAAGATTAAAATATAGAAGTATTTTCAAAGTAGAGAAATTAATAAATTTCTCTTGATAAATTGGTTTTAATGAAAGGAAGCATGTTTCAGACAGTGGGATCTAAATTTTTCCATCAGTGGTGCTTGCACAGATCTTTCTGACTTGTGGTTCATTCAACTAATCCCCACTATTTATTGATATCATGTTAAAACAAGCATTTTGCAGCAAGAGGCATGTATAAAAATATACATATATTATATTTATATATATATTTAAATGTAATATGTAATGTAAAGATAATCCTAGTAAACCAACCAATGCTTTGTGCTTCATTTTAGGAATGAATGGTTTGGACTATCTTTTCCAATTTCTAATGAAGATCTAGGGGCCTGAGAATAGCCTAGACTTGGATATTCACACTTAGTAATTTTACAATAAGATTTTTAGTTTCCCTGCTATAAATATCAAATGCAGAAATAAGAAACCTACTGGAATCTGCCTTTTCTTACCCAAACTACTGCTCACTGAAACCATCGTACCCACCTGTGTGGAGGTGATGCTCTTTGCGTTTTTTACCAATAGTCTCTTTAAAGAAACTGTAATGATGTTGACCCTTTTAAGTTAGTTCTTTGTATGATATCTGTGTGTGCACAGTTGTCAAAATGTGAGGATTTTTAGTTTTTATTTCCCAGAGACAGTTTAGTTAATCAGTCAGGAGCCATAATCATCTTCCTACACAACCATGTGTAGGCTGGCAAAATTGTTGTTCATTTCACCTAGACATCTCAAACCCAAGAGCTTTCAAGGTGTTCTTAAGCTTCTTTATGTATTCAGCATCAAATACCTATGGCTCATCAGACTTTTGCATTTTGTTATTGTGCTCTTAGGTTACGGTAGTATGGTGTGTACGTATGAGTAGTATGTGGTATGAGTGTATATGGACTGCATGTGATCAGGATGTGAGTTAGAAAAGCAAAGGTGCATGTAACACCTCTATAGAAGGAGTGTCTCAAAATCACTTTTGCCATGAATTTGTGGACAGATTTATATTAAGAATTCTTTCTGGGCTTTTTGTTTTTTAATTTCTGCAGAATTTAGCGATTCTCTGTTACTGCCTAATTCTTCTGCATCTTTTGGTATCTTGCTGAGGAGATGACAGCCCACTCTTACCTCTAATGTATCTGAGGATAAGAGACGTAATGGATATGGGCCAGCTTTTCCCTGCTTATGAGAAAGATGTTTCATCCCCTTCCCCACCTCCCGGATAATAGCTCTCCTTTATCACACACCTCAGCTGACGGTGGAGCAGACCTATTTAAGGCTTGTGTTGTGTGAAGTCCTCAGCTTTCCTTTTCTTTCTTTGTTCTTCATGTCTTGGTTCCTGTGAAGAAAAATGACAGTGGGAATAATGAAGCAAGTTTCTAGCTTGCTTTGCAGCTGGATGAAGACAATATAGGTTTTTGCACATGACAGCAAGCAGCTCTTACGATCAAACAGGATCTCATGACAAAGAGATGCCCCATTTTCTGAAGTTTCCATAGTTAATAACTCTCACAGGGAATTTTTACAGCCTGGACAGGTTTTACTTCTGCAGGAGATTTCCTAAAAAGAGAGCAGAAATTTTTAGAAAGGACTGATTCTTAGTAGAGAACTATTTTGTTTTGCATGCTTTACTTCTACAAGTACATGGGCAGGAGGGACACAGTCTGTTTGTATGTAATCAGTATGTAATTTTACTCTTAATTTTTTTTTCCTCCAAAATTTGTGGTAATGGTATTCTTTCTTTTACTGCTATTCTAGTCTGTATACCATTGCAGTGGAGCACAGTACATGTGTGTAATTCAGGACAGGGAAGGGTAAGTCTGGCCTGAGGAGGACGAAACTCTTCCTTTCATAAGATTCTGCTTCCTCAGGTGACAGAAGGCACCTGTAATACCTACATGCAGTGAATAAGCTGTTCAGCAGGTTGCCTTTTGTGCTTTGTCAGCCCACCCAGAAAACTATACATTAATATCTTGGATCTTGCTTGGAATGATGATATATAGCTGAATTGTCTTGACAGGCTTTTGAGCTTGCAGCTTTAGGCAGTGAGAATGTCTCAAGCTAATGTTGCAGTCACCCATCCGTCCCTAATTCTGAGTCTTGTGCAGTCAAATAAAGCATGGTATCATTGGAATGATGCCCTGGAGACCTGCCACAGTGCAAATCTTCATCAGTCCCGGTGTGAGCCATTGGTCTGTGAAACAGCAGAGATCTGCTAGGGGAACTCTCAGTGAGACTGGGCAGAGGTATCCACTAGGCACCTGAACCATTTATCACAGCTTGAATTAGCACAAACAAATGATGAAATGAAAAATGCAACGATAGCTGTCAGCCTGAGAGTATTTAAATGGAATAAATTTGTGATTGTGGTTTAGTCTTCTAAGCTTTCCTGATGCACCTCTAAGTCCAAAGGGTCAGGAATTAAATCAGGTTAGTGACCATATTCAATTCCACAGTACTGTGGAAATTTTTGAAGGTAGAGTAAAAATTATGTTAGGTTTGCCCACAGCTTTGATCTCTTGATATGGGAGATTTTAATGTTCTTTTCTCTGCAGTATGATGTGAAGAATCATCGCACCTTCCTGAAGCGCACCAAGTATGAGAGCCTACACCTTGAGGATTTATTTGTGGGCAACAAAATCACTGTTTTTTCCCGTCATCTAACCTTAGTGGACTATGGGGATCAATATACAGCCCGCAAACTGGGAAGCCGTAAAGAGAAGTAAGAATGCATGTTTTTTGAAATGGTCCTTTGTAGTTTGGCTTTCAGTAGTTGTTCTTTGATGGAAATGAGACAAGTATTCTGTACCATGGGGAGAGAAGGAGATAGCTACAAGTCTGCGTGCAGTTTGAAATGATCTGGCATACTGATAGCTGGAGTGAAGTTAACTGGCCTGGGCTTGTGGGCAAACTCATGACTACTGTTGTTAGATGATAAATCTTCAAGGCCAGCTTCTCCATGGTGTCAACTGCTGCCTCAAGGTCTTTTGGGAGAGAAGAGGGGGAGGAGGAAAACAGGGGGTCCTCTGCTTTTTTACTTCCTGGGCCAGGCAGCAGTAGATTTGGAGATTCTTTAGGGGGTAGAATTTGGTAGTCCTGATTGCTGGCCTTGGAAGGGCTGGATCTTGCAGAGCTAGCACCTGTCTCTCTGGGATCTGTGCAGAAGCCTAGTGCCTTACCAGTCCGTTCTACTCTGTGTTAGTAGTAGTAAGTGAAAACAGTAGTAACAGAAGAGAGGCCCATTCCCATTCTTCATTGCATTTTCCCCACTATGGAGATTTTTTTCTGAGAAATTTTTCAGCATTTTCTAGACTCCATGTGAGTGATTTACAAGGAATTTAAATGTGGTTTGACTGCAATGCAAGTAATAGCTGAATTTGCAAATTAATAAATTATGATAATTTGCTCTAGCTTTTTTTTTAAAAAGAGCACAGAGTATTTTTTAGGTATCATGTTCCATTGAGCCCTGCTCGCCTACTTTCTTGCTGCCTCCCACTAATTGGCCTTATTTTGAACTCCTTCTGGAGAGTTGTACATAACCAGAAATATAGGAAGAGTTGCAAGTTTTAACACACATATTTGCTTAACCTGGCAAAAACCATTACCATGAAAATGACTGCCATAATATCGTTCCAGAAAGAGTTCTTCTGGTACTTTTTCTCCAAGCTGGGGCTGGGCATGGTGGAAGAGTCTTAAGGAGGAGGAGAGCTCCAGAGTGTGTCTTCTGTAAATGTGGCTACTCTCTCTGTTCCTCAGTGAAGCCTGTCTTATCTATGGTTTTTATATCAATGTCACTTTTTATAGCTGTGTATTTCCTGCTCTGCCTAAACTAGCAGAAGCCCTGCTGCTGATGCAGTTATACCAAGAAAAGGGAATTTATGACATGTCAGCTGTTTGGAAACCATTTTAGGAATGTCAGCTGAAAGATAACATAGATATGCAAGTGGTGTTACATATTCAGAATAGCCCAAAGGAACATAGTGAAAGGTGTCTTAAACAGGCAAGGGATTCTCAAAATCCAGTTTCTTCACAGAAGCTTTCACTGGGTAAACAGGGTCTTACTAAGAGTCCTTGGGCAAAAGAGTTGCATATGAGGTATTTGCCCTTTTGACCTGTTCCCAGCAGGTTTTACAGCAATTATTAGTTAAATAGATATAATAAAATTTCTGCAATACTTGATAATTCCTAAAATAATCTGTAGTTGGAATTGTATTAATAATTTTAAGGATGCTGTACAAGGCAGAATGTTTCCCTTTTTCTTGCCTTTGTGCTGTGCAGGACTATCAGCAGTTTAGTCTGGGTTTGGAAATACTTTCTTTAGTTGCTGGATTTCTATGCAGGCAGGCTCAGCAAAGGCTTTGAGGGAAACTGAGTATATATAAGAAATCTTGAATGGTTTGGATTAGGGACCTTTGGTTTTGTAAACAAAGTAAGCAAATGTGACTGTAGGTACATGAGGTACAAAAGAGATGTGTAAAAAGAGGCTAGATTTGCACAGGCCCTTTCTAGAATTAGGATAAAATTATTAAGACAGTTCTATCAAGTTCCAGTTTCTACACATACTTTTCTTAAGTCTTTCCAATTTTTAAATACAGCCATATTTGATCGTGTGCCTTCCCTGCTTCCCTCCCTGTGTATCATAAGGAAACTGTCACATACAGTGGCTAAAATGGTTAAGTAAGCCTGTGCTTACTTGCAGCATATCACATACGGAATCACTGGCATGGGACAGGAATTTCTGTCTCTGTAGTGTTTCTTTGTGGTCCTGGGTGGTTGTAAGCTGAGGTAAACATTTGTCTGACTAGTGTGTCCTGTCTAAGTACGCTGGAGTCGGTTAATATCACTGATTTTGAAAGTGGTGTTAGAAAACTTATGTATCAACTAAAAATATTTGAATTCTTTTTTGATTGGGATATGTTATTCTTAGGCTTCTTGTCATTGACATAATCAGCGTTTCTTCCCCTACAAGACATAAGCTACTGTATATGCAACAGTTCTATTATTTGGAATAAGTAGATTTCAAAGACATAGCCACAGCATGTTTTGTGCATTGTTCCTTTGATCTTCTGTTGTTTCAGTACTCATTGCAGTGCAGTCATACAGTCCCTCTGAAAATCTAAGTAAATGAGCTTAATTCTCATTCTTTGTCCTTTGTTCCTAGACATAAATTTGTTTCAAATTGTACTTTGCAGACTGCATCATATTAAACCACAAAAAATATATTCCTCATTAAAACTAAAAATAGGGCACATGAACCAAAATCCAATCTCAGAAACAGTCTTTAGCATGCTGAATTGTACTATTTTTTACCTTGCATACCTCTGAGAAGCTCATAGTGAAATGTTAAAGTTTATATATCAGTGTTAGAGAAGAGGTGTCACAGGAGTTGCTCGTTGAAGTTTGCCTTAATGACTTGTAGGTAAATTGCTTCATAATGCAGTATTTTATTACATATTGGTAGGAATTAGTTTTACTAGAAGGCTTGGAATAGAAAAGTAAGGGACAATTTATTTCTAGCATTAACAGTCTGTCTCAAATAGCCTGTGTAATAACGCAGACTCAGAAAAGTATTCCTCAAGGAAATGTGAATGGCAGTAGAGATCTTCAGTCATTTATTCCTTACTGTTCATGGTAAACAGCAGAGTTGAGAACCTCTTATGCCAGTATGCAGGTCATGCATTATGTGAACAGGTGTCATCAGTCAGTTCACAGCTGCTCCCCCTCATGTGCCTTCATGCATGTGGCACACCCTGTTGTATGATAAATACCACAAAGTGAAGTGGAGCTGTGAAATCCTTGGGAAAGAGATGAGCAGCCTATGGGCCATAGGTTGCATGAAGTATGCTGGCAAACTGTGTTGAATGTTGGCCAGAGGTCAGACTTTTCTGATCTGAAGATGGGGCTAAACTGACTTTAGTTTGCACTGCGATGGACTGAAGCATAGGCTTGATTGACTACTGTCATGCAGTTTATCCTTAGTCCATCAGTCTTTTGGTGTCGTATTTCCCAACGGGTCTGGGCCCAAGCTGGTCTGTGTATATATGCTTGCTGGTGCTTGAGGAAATCTGGTTCTGAGCTCTGAAGGTCACCTATGTCTCTCCCTTAGTTTCACATGAAAAGTTGCATATGTTCAAATCTTCCTCATTACATTCCCTGGTCCTAACACCTCCATTATTTTAGATTTATCTGTTCCCAAAGTATCTGTCAGTCTGGGGTCACAGTTCAAGGTAAATGTTGTGGAAGTTTGTCTATTTCCTACATAAATGCACTGGCTAGAATATATTACTGCTAACCTAAAGGCAGCTTTCCATTCCTATGCTGGTATATAAAATGAGAAATTTGTAATTATTTTGCCTTTCATCTAAGGAAATACTGCAGTGAAAAATTCCATCTTGGACAGCCTTCATTATTTGTAACACTGTTAAAGATGGACAGAGCTCTTTAGGATTCTTGGAGACATAGAGTTTCTGAGATGCAGGATCGAATTAAATCTGTTGATTTGTAAGCTGAGCACATTTGAAGCTGACTCACCACAACATGAATGCAAATAGAAGATGCCATTTAGCAGACCTTCTTTTTGTGCTTGTTATTTTTGATTAATAATACGCTTAATGCTGAGGGTGTACTTGGTGCTGTGTGAAGTGCGCTAATAAAACAGTCGTGGCCTTGGGGATGTATAGTATGAAAAGATAATTATCGAGAAGACAGGATGTACTTGGAAACAAAGATGTGGGAGAGAGTATAGAAGCTTTTTGATTTGTCTCCCTTAGAATATAGCTGTCAGTCAGTATAAGAGACATAATACCTCCACTGCCAACCTTTTATTGTGTCTATTAACAGTGTCAGCTATTTGGCATTCAAATTATATACCATTAGGTGTTTGTAATGTACGAAGAACAGTAAGACCTTCTTTTGACTGAGGCCTCCAAATAGTTTAAAAGTAGTAATAAAACGACCATTTCACTTTCATTTTTTATTTTTTATTTTTTTTATTTTTTTGAAAGAGACGCAGTTTTAAGTAGTATTTTTAAATATGGAATTTTAACAGCTTCATTTTTATGTAGATAATGCTTAAAATTAGGGGAAAAGGGAACTGAGCAAGTATAGGGAGACATTAACAAAACAGTTGTGTTCTAACCCAGAGCCATGGCTGAGGAGCTGCAGGGATATACACTAGCTAGAGAAGAAGTGGTCAGATTGTATGCTCTGAGAGGGAAGGGAGAAGTCAGTAAATGAAGACTGCTGGAACTCTGGGGGCTGACTTGGGTTAGAAAGCTGAGGAAATTGTAATGTGCAAAGCTCGTTCTTATCAGAATAATGTGCAGGCATTCAAGGACAGCATGGAAATTGATGAGACACTGGGACTGGATGTTTGACTGTGGCAGAATTTCTGTCTTTGATGTGATGTTTTTTTTGTCTGAATACAAACTCAACATGCACACCAAATGCTCTAAGGAAAGTAACATTGGCTGTGTCGCTCTACTTTTTTTTTTTTCTCCCAGAACTCTGGCTTTGATTAAACCTGATGCAGTGCCCAAGATTGGAGAATTAATTGATATCATTATTAATGCAGGATTTACAATAACTAAAGCCAAAATGATGGTGCTTTCACGGTAAGGATTTTCTTAAAGTTAGCTCTATTGTATCTAAATGTGGTTTTCTGCAAATAAGAATATTCTTTGAAGCTATCCTCTGTTGTTCTGCACATCAAATCCATTCCAGTGGATAGCAGAGGGGGGACTCATTGGTTTCATAATCATGTAGGTTCCTGAAAGCATGTAGAGAATTAAGCTAAGAGTTAAAAAGTTATGTGCAAATGAGCCTGGTGTCATTAAATGTATAATGCTCTGTATGGATCCAAGGTGACTACCATAGTTTTAGCGGTTCAGCAGTGTTTACTGACATTTCTGTATGTTCTTACCTCATGGCTTCCTGATACTAACCATACTGCTGGTTATACTTGGTTTGACTTTAAAACACCATTGGTTTGTTTGTTCTCAGTTTATCCGTTAACTTGTGTTCCAGACCCACACTTGTTTGGTATTTTTTTATCACTGGAAGTCTAAGGCAAAGAAAGTGATCTTCTGATGTTTCTGCAGGGGTAGACAGATTTTGCATCTTCCTAATCCCCCCTAACCTTCACTGTTCTTCCCTTATCAAATTGAGCCACGAGTTTTAAAAAAAGGCATGCTGCAGAGGAAAGAAAACATATTTAATTTACCCTAGTCAACTTCCCTAAAGTTACTGCATCATTTCTTCATTGCTGGTTTGCCAAATATGTTCGTATACAACTTGTCTATGAAAAGAAAAGCTATCTGTTCTACATAATACCATGGTCATGTCTTCTTATGGTTTGTGCGAGGTCAGGAACAATTTTCTCCTACCTCAAAACCTTTTTGGCTTTCAGAAATGCTGATAAAACAACTGTGACTTCCACCTCTTGTCTCTGCATACATCTGCTGTGGTGCTAGATGATACTGGTCCCAGATCCTCCCTCAAAGAGCTCCAGTCATTGAGGTCAATCAGGTTTCTAATGCTGATTTACAATTGATAATGTCTTTCAAGCCAGCATTTTTTGCTTGCTGTCCTGCAGTCTGAGAGATTTGATCCTGCAGTGTTGTGTTGGGTGATTTCTGTATTTCAGCATCTGTCTGAGAACTTGAAGAACTGTCGAGCCAAGTCACGTGCTTTAGAGTTGACTCACTGAAGAGACAACTTTGAGATTTAAACTTCTATTGCCTTATTGGTATATAAAAAATTTCTGCTTCTCTTATATAATTGAAAGCAATTATTAAAAAGCACAAGATTGGGTTGTGCTGGATATACTTTAAAAAAAGTCTTGAGCATTTGTGGTTTCTCTGCTTACTGTGTACTCTGTTTCTTGGCACTGTACCATTTTAAAATGATAGAACTATGGCTTTACCAAAATCTTCAACCTTTAGGTCTCTGCAGGCATGCGTGTTCAAACCAGTGTCATCATCTACTGCGTTCTTTAAATGGATAATTACTGACATTTGTTTTGCAATCACTGTGAAGTAGATTCATGCCTTCTGTCAAAATTGTAGCTAGGATATGAAAGTGAGGGCAGGCACCTACTTTGATAGGTCAGTTTTCTAGTCTCTTCATGTAATCATATGTCAGTTCAGTCTACTATTCCCAGATGAATGCTGTTTTCCATTCTTTAAAAGCAGAGAACTTACAAGAGAGATAAAATTTAAAAGGAACTAAGTTATACAGCACAACTGCAATTTTATATTTATTGCGATAGGAATTCTTAACTGAGTAGTAGAGCTCAATTTGTTTCAGAAATAGATCCCTCAAGTATTTCTTCACATTCAGAAATGATAATACATAATCTGTTTGCATATCTTTTTCATATTTGCTATCCAAAATTATTTGGTGGATTAGTTTCAGAAGTCGGTTTTCTGATGAAATAGTGAATTGTAAGCAAAAACTTCAGGCTATTTGCAAAGTATAGGTTTGTAGCTTGAGATTGCAGGAGTTTCTGTGACTAGCATAATTTTTAAATCATGTTTCTGCCTTAGTTATGAAATGAAAGGAAAGTATATTAGATGTATGGCCAGTGAAATCTTCTGAATTTTGAATGTCTCATACTTACACTGAACTGAAAGCAACAAACCAGGAATTATTTATTTCCAGTGAGCAGGTGGTCATTTTGATAAAAAAGCTGGGGAAAACAGTGACTGTTCAAATATTTGTCAAGGTTAGGAAAATTGAATTCTCCTTAAGTTTTTCTTAAGATTATTTCTTTCCTCTGGCAATATTTGGCTCAAGTCTGGACTGCAAATGGGAGAGAGATGTGAAAAGTTCCATTGCAGCTGGCAGAACTGTGCCTTTGTTCATACCTGAAATCTGTTATCTAAAAAACCTTCAGGTAATTTCTTTCAGCCAAGGCAGCTGCTCAAAGTCAGCAAAATCAGGGAGACAAAAAAAAAAAAATAAAAAATCACAAGATTGTTTCTGCAGGTGAAAACAGTTTTCCAAGTGGGAATCTTTTACTCTCCCTGCAACTCTGCTTTGATTGTGAACTTTATATCCAGGGTAGGGATGAGTAGTTTTGCTTCTTTTCACCTGTCAATTGTCCTGAAGAGCTTGTTGTTCTCCACAAAGTCCAGGTTCAGAAAGTGGTACACACCAGGTTTTGGAGCAAGGCAAGAGCAAGCCTGTGCTTCTGACCTGGAATTTTGAAGCTGCAAAATAGCAGCTTTAGACTTGAAAAAGTCCGCAGATTTTTCTAGCAGTTACCATGCAGAAAAAGCAGTGCCATAAACAAGGGTTAAGTATGAGAGGCAGATGGAGAAGAAGCAGGGAAGAGAGTAGGTTGGCTAGCTGTAGGGGTGGTGGGGTGAGATGGTGTGCCCACCTGTAGATGGATCTTGAGTGTGTATCGTGGTCCCTGAAACTTGTGTAGTTGGGTAGCTGAGCCCAGATCTGCTAGCAGCGTGGCTGTGGCAATGCAGAACTTTGAGAGGGCCACTACCCTGTCTGAAAAGGTACCTTTTTGCTTCCAGTACCTGACGAAAGGTTAAGTAACAGCTGTAGTACAGACATATGCCTGATGGCCTTTATTTGCCTGGCAGTATAAGGAGTCCCCTCATTACAGAAACCCCACTGCTTTGGAAGAAAGCTCTGTGTAGTAACTGCTGTGTTCCCTGAGGGAAAGTGCAAGACCGAATTGAGTTTTCAAGTGGAAAAGTGTGGGAGAAAACAAGTTTTAATCTGAAGGGCATTGTGCTGCTGATGTGACTTGTAACATTAGAGGATTTTGAATAGAAACCAGGTTATGCAATATTTTGTTATGCACCAGAATAATCAAACACTAGCCTTAGTAAGGAAATAAGTTCCAGTGAAGCAGTTAAATTCTATATGCTTTAAAACCAAACTTCATTAACCAACATACACACTCAAACTGAGATGAAAGATGAAAACGACATAACAGTGAACGGCTTGGCAAGGTGACTCCACTGCATTTATTTCTCAAACCAAGAATGTGGGGACCATCAGTGACCTTGAAAGTCCATGCTATGGGCTTCAGTAATTACTTCCTTCCCAGAGCAGGAGCATAAGGAGGAGTCAGCTACAAGCTATACCAATATGACAGAAAATTAAATGTAGTTTCTGTTATTGAGCATGAACATCCCGGAAGCTGTCCGGCTTGGGAAGACATTACCCGTGGAAACATGTTGATGAATGATAGTTTGTGGGTTTCAGGGAGGTTTATATATATATATACATATATAGGTATATGTGTGTGTGTGTATATATATCTGTATATGTCTTTTTACTCTTTCAGAAAAGAAGCAGCTGATTTCTACGTAGACCATCAATCAAAACCTTTTTATAAGTAGGTATATCAATTTCAGCTTGACATGCAGTAAGCTTGTTTAATGAATGCAGAAACTTCATTTATCATATTTGGTACTGCAGGACGATGGGAAAATCAGAGCTTGTCTTAGTTGAGTGGAGCCCTTTGCAGAGCATGCACCCTGTTTGTCTTCCTCCAGGAACAGATCCTTCAGCTATACTTCAGCTATTCAGGGTTTTAACTCACACTCTTTACAGCCTGATAGTATCAGGGCAATGTCTTTGGTCTCTTAGAAGTGAAAATGCTTCTACCAAGGCAAAACTTCAAAGCCAAGGGAAGGAGCATCTTCAGGATCAGGGTGGAGCTTGCAGGTAATGATAATTAGGGGAACACTTATCTGTGAGAATTGATTTGATAGCAAGTACTCCAAATTGTAAGTAACAGTGCATGGGGTAGTTGTTTACAGTACTGCTACCCTTGGACAAAATGTCAAACTTCCATGGTGCTATACTGCTCCAACTAACATGAAAAACCTACTCTTGTCATAGCTGACCAGACTGATACCAGAGATTGTGTCATTTCTGGTTTGCCTAAAGATACCAACAAACAACTTTTTCTTTCCTCCCTCTGGATTTGGCAGTCTGCCTCTTCTAGGAAAAGGGTACAGCTCTGCCTTGTGTTTTTCAGCATGCTAGAACCTGGGTTTGCACTCAGTTGATCAAAAGACCTGGTTTCAGTACTGTCATGAGATTTCTGAGTATTAGGATCTGCCAGCTGCTCTCCTGCAACAGCAACTGATTATTGTGGGTCCAAACTCAAGCTCTTCATGGAGACATTGCCCCAGGCTACATCTGACCACGCTGGAGATCAGAAGAGGATTTAGGATTGCCTTTTCTTTGCTGAATAAGCCTGCTTGAATATGTTGGTAAATAAGCAAGAATTTTATCTGTAGTGTTATTTCATAGATGTCTATCTATGCTAATGGTAATGATCTGAGAAACTGTAGCCTTTATCCACTGTGATGTGCTGATCTCCCATGCTACAGTCCCATTGGCTACATCTTCTATGTAGGATTTTTCTCTAAATTAGAAACAAATAATTATAAAGCATTACAGATCAAACAGGGCAAGAATCTTCAAGGCAGTGAAATGTAAAATCTCTGACTCAATTATATTTAGCATTGTATTACTTGTCTTTAAATTCAGGTTTGGTTTGCAAGTTCTCTAGTCAATGTTAGTCTAGTGAATTCTGCTTGTTTGGAAAATTATGTCATATTTAAGAATTCAATTTTTTAAAATTATTTAATATTTGGGATCAGTCTGAACTGTAAGCAGTGTTACAGATATTTGCTTTTTTCTTGGGTGTATATATGTGTAAGCCATTTAACCATATTGTAAACAAGCAGTCTCTGATCAATAGAACCTGAGTCCCAGTAGCTTATCCCTGTGTAGTTTATTTTTATGTAACTTCTCATAGTTTTAATATCATTCCTCTAGCAAAAAACTAGTAGAATTTCTCTTTTCTTCTTGCCCATGGATCATTGCATAAATGATCATTAGGAAGAAGATGAAGAAGTGTACACATCCACAATTATAATTGTGCAAAGCTCTTTTCATGAGAAAGTAGTACAAAAAGCGTTGAGCCAACTTTCTTCTTGTTATGCATGTTTTGTAAAGATACAGAATTATAGTTACAGTGGGGCTTTTTTAATAGAATGTTTGGGTTTCCAATTTTGTGTGGCTGTTTTCTGTGTCAGATAGTCAGGACAGAAGACTGGCTGCTCCTGACTATCTCTTCTTCTTCTCAGATTCATCCCATAAAAGTCAGTTGACTTCTGCGTATGCCAGGATGTGATAACTGCAGTTAAGACCCCTCTTCCCCACAGACTTTCCAAATTCTGCTTCTCCCTTCTCTCTCACTTTGGATTTTGGCTGGGCAAAATCTGTGGGAGAGATCCCTGAGGCAGTGAGCACTCCATCCTCATAGCAGTGCTGAAATTGTGTGAGTGGGGAACACACAGGTCGTGTAAGAATCCTGATATCCTGCTGTGCAGAAGTGATGTGCTTAGGAATTGTTCCTGCCAAGCAAATGGTTAGTAGGGTCTCTAGTACCAATCTTTTAAAAATTCTTTTGAAATCTAACATGGTATGCAGTAGCTTGAATGAGTTTGTATTATCTGATTCTTTTTCTACAACCATAATAAGAAGGGAGTGTCTTCACATCGCATGGTCCAATTTCCTTCTCAAAGCAGAGCCAACTTTGAAGTTAGATCAAGTTACTCAAGGCCTTGCCCAGTTGAGTTCTGAGTATCTCCACTGGATCATATGTTTTTTTTTTGTTTTAGTTTGTAGCATAGATCACCATGTACTGTTTCCATTTTACAGTGAGCTTCTCCAGTTCATAACGAGTGGTCCCATTGTTGCTATGGAAATCTTAGGTGATGATGCAGTTTGTAAATGGAAAACATTACTGGGGCCAGCAAACTCTGCAGCGGCACAGACTGATACACCAGAGAGCATTAGAGGGAACTTTGGACATACTGGCCTAAGGAATGCAGCTCATGGCCCAGACTCAGTTGCTTCAGCTGCTCAAGTAAGTTTTTGACTGTTTGTTGACTGAGGTTTACTTTTACTTTATCTGGTAACAGCTGGGTCAGGAATTCATCTTTTCTTTTTTTCTCCACATGAGTTCAGAACTAGTTCAGATATTCTTCACGGATCCATTTTAGCGTGGAAAAATAACCCATCTGAAAAGAAAAATCTTGTTTATCTCTTTCACAAAGGGGAACCTTGAGCACTTTGATCAGGAGAGCATGTCTGGTAATTCTAATGTCTTCTGTACATCACAGACATTGAGCTAATTGCATAGTCTGTATTATCTACCTATAGCCTACCAATGTTGGTCACAAAAAGAAAGGGATTAAGCAAAATCATTTGTGCCATCCTGTGTTGCACTTATCTGTTCTCCTCCACAGCCTTCAGTAGACCTCTGCTGTTATTACTCAGAATGAATAATTATGAAAGCAGGCCACTTCATAGTGCTTTGTGTTTTGAAAGGTAGTACAGCGGGCTTGTCTTTGAGGAGATGAGTTCTATTTTGCTTTGTTTTCAAGTGTGTGTTTCCTTAATGGTAAGAAAAAGCTCTGGGACCGGGTGACAGACACTATGAGCATTTCTAAAGAATTGAGGTGACTGTCTGTGTGCCTTGTTGTGGGGTAGATATGCTGGTAAATTTTGGCAAGAATAAAGTTTACCTCATTATTGACTGATATTGCGCTGTGGTATCTTAGCTCTAAACCAGTGGTGAAAAGATGTCAGCTGTTGCTTCCTTAATCCCAGTCTTTCTTCTATTAAAATTGGAGCAGCTGCAGTAGCGTAACTGGAAAGAGACCTGCTGTGGAATACCTAATAATCTGCTAATAATCTGACAGTTGCTATATATTAGAAAGTATCCAGAGAAATTATATCCCGGTGGTAAGGGAAGAGTTGGTTAGCTTCTGTGTGCCATAGCAAAGTGTGGGTTATTTTCTGCTGGTCACGGACTCATCTCATATATCTGCGCTGTGCTTGGGCTGCTGGATCCTCTCTGTGTGCCTCTGGTTTTGACAAGAAATCATATGCTGCACCTGAAGTACCTTTTTTGCTGGCAGACTTGATGAAGGTGGTACAGAGTCAGAAGGAGTTTGGATGAAATTGATCCTTTCTGATGAAGGAAAATTATAGTCAGAAAAGTCTTTGTAGTTCTGGTTAAATAACTAGATGTCTTCATATATAAGGGTGAAAATTTTTCTTTATTTCTGTGTACTGTTGTGACAACTGTGCCAGCTTTTGAACTGACAGTGTATCTATTAGCATAAAATTTTGATTAGAAGCATAAGTGCTTTGGCTTAAGTTTGTTGTTTTTGCCTTTTGTCATTTTTGAAATGCTGTTTGAAGGCCCCCTTCATGTGCAGCAGTTTATGACTGTGGGATTATTTTGCCAAACTTTTGCAGGTATGTGCATCTTTGTGGTGTTACTGATGCCAACCTTCAATAAATCAACCAAAATTGTGCCCCTTGTGCCTATTTTAATTTAGTAGGCCCAGTATTCTATGGGTGCATAGCAGTTGCCATGGAAACTAGTTGGCTGCACCTTGACAGAGCTTTGCTGAAAGAAATATAAGATACAGGGACCTAAACAAACTCTTCTGAAGGAAAATTGGTATCAGCCACACCTAATGAGTGTGTTGTGGATTGAACAGTTAGGGTGGAAGCCTGCATTGTTCTTTTTGTGGCTAAATGACATGTGAAAGTGTGCCTTTGGTATACTCTAAGCTGGTGACTCTCAGCAGGCCAAATTTTGGAGTTTTTTACATAAAGAGTAATGGGAAAGGAAAAGAGTTTTCTTTTTTAAGACTCCACTTGTTTATAGTTTGTCATTTCATCATCTTAGTACTTCAGCATCGATTAGTTATTTTCCTTTGATTATCTTTTTAATGGCTAAAACAAAGCTTTAAATATTGTAAACATTTTGCTGCCTTTTCCTGGGTCATTCTTTTAAAATAAACATTAGCAGAATGGGATGAAATCTTTGAAGCATGCAACATTTTATCAGGAGAAGAATGTAGCAAATGAACCCTTTTGTCTCAGATGTGCCCAATTTAAATGTGGATTATTTGCTAGGAGAACAACAAAATTTTTTTTTCCCTTCTATTGAGAGATGAATTAATTTGAATTATATAATTGTTTTCAAGTAAGGATTACAGGAATTTTCAGAGTGTCATGAGCTAAAGACTGGCGGATAGCTAAGTCTGTTCCATGTGATCTGAGCTAGTAAATGAAATGAGACTATTTCAGGAAATGGCCTTTAACACTGCTACTGTTAACACAGGGAAAAAAATCGAATAGATTTGGTAATAGTATTTCCAGGATATTATTATTTCCCTTAAATAGAAATCTATCAATCAACTCTTACTGAATTTGACCAATAGGTGTGAAATGGAATCTGCATTCTGAGCATTTGACTAATCTTAATTGGCAGATTGTGTAACATATGTGAATAAATGGTATGGAAAAAGTGTGAAGCTGGCAGTAAACAGTGAAAAAATATCACTGAGGAAAGAAACCTGGCTGTCAAGCTCATCCCAGTATGGTCTAAGACCCAAGCTGTATGATATCTGAATAGTAATGGTGGAGAGAAAGGAAGTGATTGGAGGCAAGGAGGTTCATCCCAAAATCAGAGCAATTGAGTTCATCAGCTTAAATTCAGTAAGATTTAAAAAAAAATAAAAAAAGAAAGTGTCACTAAGGCATGAGTCAACAATTTTAGTATTTAAGAGAAAATGAAAGAATATAAATAAACGGGATAGAGGTCAGCTTTGTATATGGAAAGAAAACATACTGAACAGTGGATGGTAGTTGCATACTTGCTTTTATAATGGAAAAGATGATGCGAAAAGAGGGAAGATAAAATATGTATATGTGGGAGTGTATTTAGGAAAGATACTGAGGAAGGAGAGAGAGAATTTAGAAAACTGGGAACACCTTTCCCAGATGATTGTGGCTGTGGCAGCAGTGCTTTGGATGTTCTGAATGGAAATGGATGGTGTTACAGGAGGGGAAAGAACAACATTGCAAGAAGAATTCTAATCATGTTTTTATGATTGTAGCTGTGGTGCCAGAGAGGGAAAGATAAGTTTGAGAGAATATTATAGGGAAAAAGTATTTGTAGCACAAAAAAAAATCTGTAATTATGGTTTATCTTCTGTGACTGTGGATATTTCAGATGTTGTTACTTATGATAAAGGCTGATGTATGCAGCTAGATCAATCTAAAATGTATGCAATTACAATGTTTTTCAGGAGCTGGAGTTGTTCTTTCCCTCCAATGGAGGTCGTGGACCAGCCAACAGTGCAAAATTCACAAACTGTACTTGTTGCATTATTAAGCCTCATGCAGTTAGTGAAGGTAAGCAATGAAGATAGAGGAGGGGAAAGCAATCTGTACTTCATTGTATCCATGATAATTCCTGCACCCTTTTTTGGGAGAATGAGACTGCAAAAGCACAGGGTATATTTCATAGTACATACAAAATCATGCGGATATATACCTTTAGTATTTCTGCCATTCAGTTCCATGAAGAGTGGTTCACATGCTTTCCATGTGGATACTTGTTAATTTTAGAATAAGAAGGGTGAGGTGATAAAAAAGGGGGATAAAAGTATACATGAGATTTGATGAACCTTACTGGGACAGCTTACCATGTCATTGCTCCTTTCTACTCAACACACTCCTCTGCTGGAAGTTAGCATCCTCAAGGCAGCCTGAAAGTAGAACACCTGGCCATATTGCAGGGACACTCAGGCAGTAACACATTACATTGAAACTACTTACAAAGGGAGATTTTTACTGATATGAATCTCGTTCTGCTGAAAGTAGTGAGGATGGAAAGTAGAAAAGGCTTGTTTGTTCTATAAAACTGAGTCAGAGACCTAAAGCATTTGTTGGCCTCCACGATGCTTTATGTGCTGGCAAATACTCTGTGAGCTCACCATAGGAGTATTAGATATGTTTAGTGCCCAGCCGTTACCGCACAAAAACAATCACACTTTGTGTCCTGTACTCAGGTACAGGAGCATGTGTAGGAGCAGTGAGTGCAGTAAAATATTTTTGCTTTGGTACTGCAGTAACATTTTTGAGTGTAGAATAAATGTTGCCATGTGAGAGCACTGAGATTTTTCTTAGTAAGATACAGAGCACACTGCAACATTTTAATCACTTCTCTGCCCATAGCTAACATGGAAACATCAGAAGTGGCTGTAGCAGTTTCCAGGCCTTTCACATCTCAAGTGGGATGTCTGGAAAGCTTGCTGAAAAAAACATGCTTTCATGAGAAAGAGTCTCATGCTCACTGCTGATAGTATGTCTGTTATCTGTTTGAGGCCTTGCATGGTATCTGCTTCTGGTAAATCTTCCATGCAGCAAAGAGGGAGTGATGTTCCTTTTACAGAAATGCAGGCAGCAGCTAGGACTATGATTTCACGTATGTTTGCAGAGGACAAACCTTTCCTTGGCAGAATTGTTACAGTCCTTAATTTGACTGTGAAAATAACAAAGTGGATAGCTTGGGCTCTGCTTTCTTAAGATATAATTTTTATTTATATCAGGGCTCAGACTCGTATCTTATTGAGCTTAGATTTTCTCTTCACACTTTTAATCTCCTTTATTTATGTAGATTTCATAGTGGCCTGTTACTTTCTTTCTTTTTTCTTGAACTTCTCAAAATTTTTCTGAATCGCCAAAGGACAAAGTCTGGTCCCATTTGCATGCCTCTCTGGGAGCGTGAGTGTCTGGAGGAGGGGGGATTGGTGAGAGAGAAAGAGGTGCGGGTATAGAAAATCCTTGTACACGCAACTTTGCCATGTGCATGCTAGACTAAAGTTGAGATCAATAACCACTATATAGTCCTTCTCCTCACACCACAGAGGGCTGGAAAGGCAGACCCAAGCTTTCAAACAGCAACTAAAATTTGAAAGGTGAAGTGTACATTGTATGAGCATTCTCCATCCATACAGCTTTTACCTTGTATGAGCATTCTTCATCCATACAGCTTTTACCCTCTATGAGCGTTCTCCATCCATATAGCTTTTACCTTGTGAGAGCTTTCTCCATCCATACGGCTTTGATTACCACTTTCAACAGAATGAAAAAGTAAAACCTGAATATTCTAAATTAGCAAAATGTTTTATCAGTTTGCTGTGGTTTAACCCCAGCTGGCAACTAGGCACCACACAGCTGCTCACTCCCCCACCAATGGGATAGGGGAGAGAATCAGAAGGGTAAAAGTGAGAAAACTCGTGGGTTGAGATAGAGACATTTTAATAGGTAAAACAAAATCTGCTTCTATGAGCAAAGCAAAACAAGGAATTAAGTCACCACTTACCATGGCAGGTTGGTGTTGAGCCATTTCCAGAAAAGCAGAGCTGCATCACATGTAATGGTGACTTGGGAAGACAAACACCATCACTCTGAACATCCCCGTATTCCTTCTTCTTCCCCTAGCTTTACATGCTGAGCATGATGCCATATGGTCTGGAATAACCCTGTGGTCAGTTGGGATCACCTGTCCTGGCTGTGTCCCTTCCCATTTCCTTGTGCACCACCTGCCACTTGCTGGTGGGGTGAGAGGAAGAAAAAGCCATGGCTCTGTGTTAAGTACTGCTCAGCAGTTAACTAAAATATTCCTGAATGATCAACACTGTTTTCAGCACAAATCCAAAACAAAGCCCATACTAGATACTGTGAAGAAAATTAACTCTACCCCAGCCAAACCCATCAAGTAGTTTTAAATTAATATCAAGAATGATGGCATTCAGAGACTGGTTATGCTTTTACCTCAGTAAGCTCTCTTGTTCCTGTCTGTTTTCCCCAGTGTTACTTTGAATGCCTCAAAAGCCAGAGGTACTGCAACTCTTAAAGAGGTTATGAGTCTGAGGTCTTGTAAAACTTTCTAGAAGTCTGTCTTCTGACAGGGAGCTGGGCTTAGGAAAAGGACAAGACACTGTTGGTGGGCAATGGCCTCCCTCTTTGGCTGCGAGCACTGGTGTAGCTTCATATCACAACTGGACTGGTTTCAGTCTGCAGTTTGACAGGGGGTGAATCCTTCTTCACAAAGGCTGCAGGAACTCTCCAACATCAGCCCAATGGGCCAGGAGTGTCACAGGTGAGAGGATTTGGCTTTCTTTGCCTGTCCTCTTCTGTCTTCCTTAATCTTTCTCATATTCTACTTCAGCCTATTTTTGTGATGACAGAAATATCACTGGGTGGCATCTCTTTTGGTATGCTTGGTCTTATAAAGTGCTTTGCATCATCACAGTCGAAAGAACCATGCACAACAGGGAGCTGTGCACTAGCTTTGCAACAGTTTTTTTGAAGTCTTAATTCTGAAATTACTCCTATGATTGAATTGCCTTTTTTAAAATTGAAGGAACATGGCCTTTGCTTCCTGAAGATTGTAAAGCTTTTAAAGTTTTGAATGTGCTTTTTGGCAATGGCAGGTTGTCTCTATGGAAATGCCACCATTCCTCCATCCCAGTGCAGATTATTTTGGAGTGCGGGACTGGTATGCTGAAATTGGGGGGACCGAGCAATCTGCCTATGAGAGCTCCAAGCTGCCTATTTGAAACAGGAAGACTGTTGTGGTTTAACCCCAGCCAGACAGCTTGTTCACCCACTCCCCCCCTTCTTGCCCTCCCCCTACTCTCACATGCTAAGTGAGCGCTCTCCCACTTGAGCTAATTCCCCAGCCCACCCAGGAGACCGACAACTTGCCCCCCCCCCGCCCGACCAAGCACCGACCGATACCTCCTCCAACTCTCGATAACTCGCCCATACACCCTGCCAATCAGGGAGGAGCCCTGCTATAGGGATTAGAGAGCAGAGACATGGCTGTGGAGTAGGCTGGCCCCATGGATTCTGCATCTGTAGGCAGAAAGTTTGAGAAAGGAAGGGCTGACCTTTTTGGGCTCAGTGCTCCATGACAGAGCCGGGGGGGCGGGGTGGGGTGGTGGTGGGGGGTGTCTTGCTCATCTTGTCTCCCTTTTAAGGCCTGTTAGCAACCAGTGATACTCCAGACATTCTGATTATATCAGCAGCATCTCCTTTATCTCAGTTGAAGTAGGTGCTATAGCAACTAGTGAGAGAAGCCAGAGAGTTGTAGTCTATGGGGTGGAGTCTAGTTGGAGGCCTGTATCTAGTGGAGTGCCTCAAGGGACCAGTATTATTTAATATATTCATCAACGATTTAGATGAGGGAATTGAGTGTACTATCAGCAAGTTTGCTGATGACACTAAGCTGGGAGGAGTGGCCGACGCGCCAGAAGGCTGTGCTGCCATCCAGCGAGACCTGGACAGGCTGGAGAGTTGAGCAGGGAATAACTTGATGAAATACAACAAGGGAAAGTGTGGAGTCCTGCATCTGGGCAGGAACAACCCCAGGTTCCAGTATAGGTTGGGGAACGACCTGTTAGAGAGCAGTGTAGGGCAGAGGGACCTTGGGGTCCTAGTGGACGACAGGATGGCCATGAGCCGACACTGTGCCCTTGTGGCCAAGAAGGCCAATGGCATCCTGGGGTGTATTAGAAGGGGGGGTGGTTAGTAGGTCGAGAGAGGTCCTCCTTCCCCTCTACTCTGCCCTGGTGAGACCTCATCTGGAATATTGTGTCCAGTCCTGGGCCCCTCAGTTTAAGAAGGACAGGGACCTGCTGGAGAGAGTCCAGCGCAGGGCAACTAAGATGATTAAGGGAGTGGAGCATCTCCCTTATGAGGAAAGACTGAGGGAGCTGGGTCTCTATAGTTTGGAGGAGAGGAGATTGAGGGGTGACCTTATTAGTGTATATAAATAGATAAAGGGGGAGTGTCAAGAGGATGGAGCCAGGCTCTTCTCAGTGGCAAACAATGATAGGACAAGGGGCAATGGGTACAAACTGGAACACAAGAGGTTCCACTTAAACTTGAGAAGAAACTTCTTCTCAGTGAGGGTGACAGAACACTGGAACAGGCTGCCCAGGGAGGTTGTGGAGTCTCCTTCTCTGGAGACATTCAAAACCTGCCTGGACACGCTCCTGTGTAACCTTATCTAGGTGTTCCTGCTCTGGCAGGGGGATTGGACTAGATGATCTTTTGAGGTCCCTTCCAATCTCTAGCATAGTCTGATACTGGGTGATACTGTGACCTTTTGGCAAAGTTGCATGTAGGAGGCTGTGTGCATGGTCTTAAAAATAAGCAACTTGCTTACCCCCAGCAACAGTGCTTCCAGCTGTCGTTGTCCACCCTGTTTCTGGTGGGGAGACTGTATGTGGAAACAGCATCTGCAGAGGAAAGGAAATCTTGTGTGGCCATCAGTGTGAAAAGGTGGTTTGGCAGAGGCGTGGAGAAGGATTTATGTGGATCAAAGCAGCAGACCCTAT